CCACACGGCCGGCCGGCGGGCAGCAATGCAATGGAGTCGCCGCGCCTCCGCGCCCCCGCGCCCCTTCCCGAGGGGTCGCCGCTCTCCCCCAGCGGCGGATAAGGTTACCCGGCCCGCCTCTCGCCAAGTTCAGCGGAGCCGCCCGGGGCGGCCGCGCTTTGCCAGCAGCCGAACCTGATCGGGGCCGGGGGGCCGGCGGGTGGCTGTGCGGGCGGGCAGGAAGTGGGCGCGCGTGTGCGTTGCGTGTGTGTGTGTGCGGGTGCCTTACTTTATACGGGCATCGCTGTGGACATGGTTGTGGATTAAACAAAAGGACAGAGAAAAACAGGAGCAAAGGGTCAGAAAAAAGCAAGCAAGGGGCGGGATACAAATCGGATTATAAATAAAGAAATAAGTAACTTTTTATGATGGAGGACTTCCTATTTTAGCACCCAAGGCACACTTCTCCCCCCCACCCTCTTTTTTAACACTTCACATTCCGAGTTCTCTTTACCTTTGCACGAACAAGCCTGAGAGGCAAAGCCTGCCATCCATTGTAGCTGGAGTGCAGAGTTCAAATCCTGCCTTTCAGCCATAAATTCGCGCTGAATATTTCGCCTTGAACATTTTTTGTCTCTTCAATTCCCCATAAGTAAAATAAACTTCACTTATCTCTCGTGAAATACAAGGCATTGCTTTTTTAAACTGAAGTTATTATATTTAAACTGAGGTTGTTATTGTTAGCTCTTAGTAGGAAGTCATAAAGTAGGAAGTCAAAAGGTAACCAGAAAAACGGACAAGTTTGGCCTTGGAGAACAAAATGAAGCCATGCAAAGGCTAACAGGTTTTGTCAAGAGAACACGCTGGTCATAGCGAACACCCTCTTCCAATGACCTAAGAGGCAACTCTACACATGGACATCACCAGATGGGCAACACCAAAATCAGATAGTTTATATCCTTTGCAGTCAAAGATGGAGAAGCTCTATACAGTCAGTAAAAACGAGATCTGGAGCTGACTGTGGCTCAGATCATGAGCTACTCATTGCAAAATTCAGGCTTGAACTGAAGAAAGTTGGGGAAAGCACTAGGCCATTCAGGTTTGACCTAGATTGCATCCCTGATGAATATACATTAGAGGTGAAGAATAGGTTTAAGGGACTAGATTTGATAGACAGAGTGCCTGAAGAACTATGGATGGAGGTTTGTGAGATTGTACAGGAGACAGCAATCACCACCATCCCAAAGAAAAAGAAATGCAAGAAAGCAAAGTGGCTGTCTGATGAGACTTTACAAATAGCAGAGGAAAGAAGGAAAGAGAAAGGCAAAGGTGAAAAGGAAAGATTTACTCAACTGAATTCAGATTTCCAGAGAACAGCAAGGAGAGATAAGGAGGCCTTCCTGAATGAACGGTGCAAAGTAATAGAAGAAAACAATAGAATGGGAAGGACTAGAGATCTCTTCAAGAAAATTGGAGAAATCAAGGGAGCATTCCATGCAAAGCTGGCCATGATAAAGGACAAAAACGGTAGAAGCAGAAGAGATTAGGAAAAGATGGCAAGAATACACAGAAGAACTATACAAGAAAGACCTCGATGTCCTTGACAACCACGACGGTATAATCACTGACCTCGAGCCAGACATCCTGGAATGTGAAGTTAAATGGGCCTTAGAAAGCATTACTAACAACAAAGCTAGTGGAGGTGATGGTATCCCAGCTGAGCTATTCAAAGTCTTAAAAGATGATGCTGTTAAAGTGCTGCACGCAATTTGCCAAAAAATTTGGAAAATGCAACAGTGGCCACAGGATTGGAAAAGATCAGTATACATTCCAATCCCAAAGAAGGGCAACGCCAAGGAATGTTCAAACTATCGCACAATTGCACTCATATCACACGCTAGCAAGGTCATGCTCAAGATCCTACAAGCTAGGCTTCAACAGTACGTGGATAGAGAACTACCAGAAGTACAAGCTGGGTTTCGAAGAGGTAGAGGAACGAGAGATCATATTGCCAACATTCGCTGGATTATGGAAAAAGCAAGAGAGTACCAGAAAAATATCTACTTCTGCTTCATTGACTATGCTAAAGCCTTTGACTGTGTGGATCACAACAAACTATGGCAGGTCCTTAAAGAGATGGGAGTACCAGACCACCTCACATGTCTCTTGAGAAACCTGTATAAGGGCCAAGAAGCGACAGTTAGAACCGGATATGGAACAACTGATTGGTTCAGCATAGGAAAAGGAGTACGACAAGGATGTATACTGTCACCTTGCTTATTTAATATATATGCAGAGTACATCATGCGAAATGCTGGCCTGGATGAATCACAAGCGGGTGAGATGGTTAGACAGTGTCATCGAGGCAACAAACATGAAATTAAGCAGACTCCGGAGGACAACAGAAGGGCCTGTCGTGATGTGGTCCATGGGGTCGTGAAGAGTCAGACTCAACTGTGCAACTGAACAAAAACAAAAGCTAGTTCTTCATTCTCCAACTTCAATCACTGCAAACAGAAGACTAGGAATAGGGAACCAACTTCAGCCTCACAGGCATATCCAGTAGGGTTCTTCTTAAGAAGCCCCCACATGGCAGTTGTCATTTAATAAAATATGATCCTCAAGATCAAGCACAACAAAATATGGGAAACCCCAAAATACTCGAGTATCTTTCCTGTTATAGCCCCGCCCCCTTACAACCCCCAATTTGAACTCCGGAACTGTTTTACTGGGAAGAAAGGGAGGCTGTGGAGTTCACCATTCTGAATCCATCACTTCATAAAAACCCATATGGAGTTCTAGGCCCTGAGCTCACAGCTGCCGAGCACCGTGTAGCACAATATGCCGTATCTCTGGACCCTTTCTGTCAGGCTCAGGTAGAGCCCTGTTTTCCCCTGACTGATCTTTAAGGCGAAGTCCTTGTGCTCTCCCCAGGGTGCATCTGTGCAAACCAATTCCTTTGGAAGTACCTCTTGCTAACCTCCTCCCGGATCATCAATGATTCATCC